CTACTCTACTAAGTTACAATAAGGATATCACCCAGTGGATAAAGAACCACCCCTTGTAACACATCGTGAGTCCTAATTTACCAGTGCCCCCTATATCAAGCTTGTATTAAATTATATCTGAGAGCTAATTACTCAATATAATCATAGAGTAGCATATTAAATTTACCATTGACGTTCTGGGTCCCCAATTTTTGGATTAAGGTGACTCATTATTTACACTAGCCCATAACAGTATCAGAGACTCCATGAAGCTGTGATTTTTACATAAGCCAGTTCATATATTGTCTGAACATCAAAATGGTATACAATGCCGACAGGTTGTTAGGTAAGACACATATGCAAAAGTTGTCTAACTGTTGCATATGTGTCTTACCTCATATATTGTCTGTTTATCATTAATACGGTAACTAATCTAGAGTGATTTTCAGGTAAGTGTTTTTATTGTGACCTACTGAAAGCCAGGCCTACCCCAAGCTAGTAACCCGTCTGCATGAGCACCAACACTTGCAATTATTGATAACTGAGTACCACACTTGTTTCATGGTAGACCTAGTGCCTGCAGGCATCTCACTGTATTGGCTTGCAAGTGCATATCTTGGCCCCTTAGTATTTGACCCGGTAGGTCAGTAGCAATGTTCCTCTTGGCTATCATCCAAATATGCCTAGATCATTCCCTGGGCGATTGGACTTCACTGTCCATTCACTGAATCTATCAGAGATTCTCAGTTCCCTTGGTAATCTGACTGGTCCTTCGAACACCCGCTAGAAGGTGTTTTAGACATAGTTTAGAGCCAAACTAACAATACTCTAGGTTGGTTTAGGGGGACTATGATAACAGTCTCCTGGAGGTACCATTGTAAGGAAAACGGATGTGGGGGTTTGTTATTCAAGAAAGTTTCCACAGCATTCCCATATCCAGGTAAGTGGAAGGAGCGAAAAGAGAGAAAGGAATCTTTACCTAAATCTAACTACCAAGTTTCAGCATTGACTCAGTAACCATACGAGTTGCTCCAGAAAAAGTAGCAGCAGGTGCCTTATTTAGATACTTGTTATTTCCCTCTTTATTAGGCAGGAACAGCAGTACCATTAACATGGAGGCACGCTCTGCAACCCTCTCACTGAGGAATTAGACACATCTGTAACACCTGGGTATCTTTATTTAAAGACGTTTCTCCAACCAGTAGCCCTTTCAATACAAATATAATATAGAAAGATGAGGTAATGGTCTTGTCTGACACAGCAACACCACTGAATCTCGGTACAGAGGACGGCTTCTACAACCTGTCTACTAAACTCTGGCCCAACTCTTGGACATTACCTACTTCCACTAGTGAGAACCACCCAACCTGTGAGTGGGTCTAATTCCACTGCATAAAAGTTCATTTTCTTACTTATGCTTCAAATTCATCAAGACAAAAGTACTGAACACTAGTTCCAGGCTGAGGGACTGATTACCTCTGTCTTCTTATAGTTCTACAAGGGTGAGGGACTGATTACCTCATCTTTCACTGTCTTCATATATCATCTCTGTAATGAATTGAAAAAGCCACTGGTTGGCGTAACGTCTTAAATTAAAGATAGCCAGGAGTTGCACAGATGTTTAATTTTTCCTCTTACCGGTACTGTATAGTATTATTGCTATGAAACCTCACAGCACCATAATCCCCCTCACTGGAAGCCTTGCTACCTTCATTGCACATTATGGAAACCAATCTTCACCATCAATGGGTAACGATACCATCCTTATGAATTAGATGGACCGAGTCTCCTACTGCCAAACATCGTCAGATCAAATAGTGCAATGATTATAAACATATATTTCTTAACAATTCGCAAATCGGAAAACTTTTAACAAATATTATATCTCAGTCCACAGCAGGATTCGAACCTGCATACTCTGTATCAAGGTACTGTGTACTTTGATACAGAGTGTGCAGGTTCGAATCCTGCTATGGACTGAGATAATGTTTGTTAAACATTTATTTACGATGGTATCATCGTACCTCATGGGACCGTCAGTTAACACCTACATGAAACCGAAGAGCAGTAAGCTTATCTGGTACATGACACAACCTGTTATCTCTGATAAGAATTGAGTTTTTATATACTATATCTAATGTGCCCCTGATAACTCTTTAGAGACGAAGTTCCTAGGCTTTTCGTGTATCCTATATGCTCTTGTGTTACCCTAGACGAGCTGAATATGAGGTGCACAGTAAATTAGCCATTTTGGCGGCAAAATCTAAAATCTAGGCTATGTTGAATCATTGATATTATTTCAGAAGTGTAAAAAAAAAGCCTAAGGTAAAGCGTTCTCTCCAAAATAATGCAAAAATGCGAAACAAAAGAACAAGTCTAAAAATTGGACATTGAAAATAAACAGAGCAAAACGCAAAGAACAAAAGGTCGACAGAGAAAACTTGAGGAAGGTGAAGACCTTGTTAAATGTTATCTCAGAACCAAACAAATAAAATGAAACAAAGAATAAAATAAAACAAGAAGGTCAAGACTAAGAGACAGACACAAACATATTCTTTGTTGCTCCTCCCTCTCTACAATTCTCTCTCCCTCTCTTTTACACAGGGTTGTACAAGGTTAGGTTAAGCATTCCTAACGTTATTTACAAGCTAAGAGTTGTTACCTACATCTACTCATTTGAAAGCCTTTTTATTATGGAACAGGATGAGGTTGGAGCTATCTAAAGGACCCTAAATGGAAATAAGTGACTTTTTTGGGGTTATCTTAGGTTCTCTACACATACGCTGCTATGTATGATAATATATGTAACTGTATCTGTGTATATCTGAATAAACTTGCTTATCTCTCTCCTTTCACTCTCTCGAACGGTTGAGTTCTTTATCTCTCGAGAGGAAACAAAGTCCTGCTGTTGTGGTTCTCTCCTCGTTCTGTTATCTTCTGTTATCACCCAGAAAACAGGATTCTCACCTACTTACATAGATAATACGGTTTAATCAAAGGACAGCGATAAACCCGTAGGTGTGATGCAGTACCTGAGGAACGGGGGGTTATAAGGTTCGACCTGAGGAAAGGGAGGCTAGCTGCAACTCCTCAGATGGAGAGCCCTTCGCCAGTATTATTTTATTATTATTATTATGGGGAACTCTATACCTGTAGAGATTATATAGCGCCTGTGGATGGGGAAGGGGGGATGGAAGGCATTCAAGTTCAATTCAGGGAACTGGAACACATATCCAATTCCCTAGATCAAGAGCCCCTCACCAGCATCAAGGAACCTAACTTGAGAGATTGCCATGTATCAAGGCACGCCTTCATGAGTATTTAACTTACTCTTTATAATACAAAAAATCCATTTCTCAGGATAGACTATCCTGAGAGGCGTCAAGTCCAAAGTGATAGTAACTCCAGTTTTACTGGAACGAAACCTTTGAAGCTGCGAATGAGGGAAATACTTTATTATCTCGGTATATACCTTCCCTTCCAGTAAACACAGAGAAATACATTACTGCAGTTATGAACTTTACCTGGGCGTACTAGAGAATCCCGCGCCCTACTAAACTCCAGTTGGACTCACAGATTTCTACACCATCTTGAGCCCCATCCTGCGAGATGGATAGGACACAAACCGACAGTTTTATTTCTCGTGTGTAACCATCCTAGAGTAAAAAGCAGCAATTGATGTGTTAACCAGTTCCGTCTCTGCATACATTTACCAGCAGCAGCTAGTATCAAGAATCTTTTCTCTGGCAGTATCATTATCAGCAACAGCTAGTACCAAGCAGTCCTCGTCTCATAAATACTGCTCTTCTAGCTTCCCTTGAAGACGGGTTCAAATTTTGGCACTGAAAAGGAGGGAGACAGGGAGGATCTAGGCAAGTGGGACGGAGGAAGAGAAGACAACGGATGAGATTAGTGTACAGGAAGAAGAAGGATAGAGTTGGGAAGAAAAGTACCAGTGGTGGATGCCTGTCAACACCCTGACACTCCTGAGTATCAACACATTACCCACACACACTCCTAAACTCACTCACACACATTCTCTCTCTGAACATCAACACATCACACACGCACACACTCTGAGACAGCAACACATCACACCACATTCTCCTGAAACATCACATCACACCACACAGCTAGACATCACATCACACATACACACTCCTGAGACACCAACATATCCAGCACACGCCTGAGACATCAACACACACCACTCCTGAACATCACATCACACACACATCCTGAAACATCACATCCAAACACACACACACACATCTCCCTGAAGACCGTCAACATCATCGACACAAGACAGACCTGAGAGATCAACAATGGACGACACAGATCAAAACATGTGCAGCACAAACCTATACCCACATGCACACAGTCATACAACCGGCATAACATACCATACGCAAGTGCATACATACCAACTCACAACTTCTCACCACATCACACAACGTCTCTCCATGGAAGAACAACACTCTCACCCACGTGCACACAACGTCTCACAGTAACACAACCTCTCACCCACATGCACAACGTCCTCACAGTGCAACACAACCTCTCACCCACGCACACAACGTCTCTCACGAGACTGCAACACAACTCTCACCCACATGCACACAACGTCCTAACTCACAGGTGAACACAACCTCTCACCACATGCACACAACACACTCACTGTGAAACAACCCTCACACACATGACACACACGTCTCTCACCAGGTGAACACACCTACTCACCACATGCACACACGTCTCCACAGTGAAACACAACTCTCACCCACTGCGACAACGTCTCTCACATGGAACACAACCTTCACACATGCACACAACGTCCTCACGGTGAACACAACCTCTCACCACATGCACACAACGTCTCTCACGTGACACAACTCTCACCCCATGCACACAACGTTCTCACAGGTGACACAACCTCTCACCCACATGCACACACGTCCCCATGTGACACTGCATACCTCTCACCCATGCACCAAGTGCTCACCAACGTAACACAACTCTCACCCACATGCACACAACGTCTCTCACAGGTGAACACAACCTCTCACCCACGTGCACACAACGTCTCTCACAGGTGAACACAACCTCTCACCCACATGCACACAACGTCTCTCACAGGTGAACACAACCTCTCACCCACATGCACACAACGTCTCTCACATGTGAACACAACCTCTCACCCACATGCACACAACGTCTCTCACAGGTGAACACAACCTCTCACCCACATGCACACAACGTCTCTCACAGGTGAACACAACCTCTCACCCACATGCACACAACGTCTCTCACAGGTGAACACAACCTCTCACCCACGTGCACACAAGCCGGCTGATAACAGTAAGAAGAGCCTTTTGTTGTTGTTGAAATAATCAGATACATCAGCAGTGTACTACTACGTATATGTGAAAGTTACTCAGTGGTAACCAAAAGCTACGTTTCAGTGTCATATTCCGTCACGCAGGATGGGCGTTCATACAAGGTATTGAAGTCGGCCAGTCTGAGCTGGGAGCGATGAGGATATCGTCAGTAGAGCGATGAGGATGTCGTCAAGTAGTCGAGGAAAGGTTCATCAGCTACGGCAGCTTCCAAGGTTACGTTCCAAAAGAGCTGGAGTTAGTGTTACCTGGGGAAAACCATCTCTCAGAATGGCGGGGCCAGGAGCTATGACTTGACCTTCTGAAAACACAACTCTGCAAGTACAACAAGGAGGATATACAGGTACATATAAAAAAACAGACAGGCTTATAAACACATGAGATAGAGAGAGAGAGAGAGAGAGAGAGAGAGAGAGAGAAGAGAGAGAGAGAGAGAGAGAAATAAAGTCAGTTAATCAAATGAAATCGCTGGCCCACAGTTGGCTCTAACTTCATCCTGTTCCCTACTTGTATGTCTCATAACAATAAAGAGTTTTCAAATGAGCTGATGTAGGTAACAGCTGTTACCATGTAAGTGAAATTAGGATCCCTTAACCTAACCTTGTACAACCCGTGTGCAAGAGAAATTGAGAGAGAGAGAGAGAGAGAGAGAGAGGGGGGGGGGGGGAGGGGGACAACCAGTCATCCTGAATCAGGGGAGTTTACATTAAGTCACATTAGCGTATAAAAACGTATATTTAACCACAACTGAGGTTTACATAAACCTTGGTAATTACCGACAAATTGGTTTAAAAAGGTTCGTGAGCGAACACTAGGATATATTTATTTTAGAAAGTTTCGGTCCCAGGACCTTGATCAAGGTCCCAGGACCGAATGTTTTTATTAACAAATATGTCCTCGTGTTTATTCACTTGCCTTTTTAAATCAGTTTAACCACAACTCATCAAATTTGGAAAATGCGCCGTAATACGTCTGACAAACGAGATGGCAGAGAAAAACAACAAGAAACTTGGAATGTGAGAACAGTATGAAAGAAAATATCTAATGGTTACAATTATAACCATAATTTTTAAGGGGTGGAAGGGTAGGCCAGTGGAAGGTCTCGGTCAGATGACCAAAAACTCCAGCGGCGGGTCATCATATGACTAAGTCCCGCGTCAGGAAACACTTGTCCTGTTACCTGACGAACCTTACTAACTTAACTTTACAGCATGAAATCAGCCAATATGAATAAATCACATCTACATAATGTACTTCTCAGGGTGTCCTCGAGATCATTGCAAAACAATGTCTTATGTTCCCCAAGTCTATATAAACATTTGCTGACTGACTTCTCCAACTGTCTTAGTTTCCCACAACGCACGGCACATACACTGAGGTGTGTGACTCTTAGTGCATATGTTGACTCTAAGGATTAAAGTATTGTTAACTGGTGGTGAGCAGATGACATGCAGGCTTTAAACTCCGTTAACAAACCTAAAAACCCCATTAACTAATCAGTATAAACATCCCTGGTGCCCCTGCACCATCACAGGGGCAGCCTTGACCTACATTACCCACTAGTGGTATCTTGCCCCACTACCACTACCACCACCCCCAACAACCACCCCCTCCCTCTCATCACAACTTATCAACAATACAAAAATATGAATGAGAAATACGCAAGCCAAGGACACTGTTATCACAGTGTTTTTCAAAGGCTTCATACAATATTGCTTTTAATATCAATTACTCGTTATAGTTAAAGCTTCTCTCCATGGGGAGGTGGAACAGAATTCTTCCTCCGTAAGCCATGCGTGTTGTAAGAGGCGACTAAAATGCCGGGAGCAAGGGGCTAGTAACCCCTTCTCCTGTATACATTACTTATTTCAAAAAGAGAAACTTTCGTTTTTCTTTTCAGGTTACCTACCTCGGTGGGATATGGCCGGTTTGTTGAAAAAATAAAGCTTCAGATATGGAAGATTATTTAATTCGAAATATTAACCTAGAAAGTCAATTGGTGTGGCTTATTTCCATTGTGGTCCTTGAATCCTCTTCCCCTAGTGTGCCATCACAACAGTCCACTAACACCCAGGTACCTAATTAGTGTTAAATGAACAGGGGCAGCAGGTGTATGGCAATATGCCTAACGTTTCCACTCGTGCCAGGATCGAACCCGGGTCCTTCAGATGTTGACAAAAAGGTCTACCATCTGAGCCACAAGCAGCTAGCTGGCAGGTAGTTATAACCAATCAATGCAGCAGCCACGACGCGACCTACATTAACATCGCCTGTGACCTGCTGCTCCTAGCTCCCTCAACACACCTTAAGTGACCTACTTCTACCAATGATTTTCACTGTACAGTATATACATTTTCACTGTATAGTATGTACATTTTCACATTATATACATTTTCACTGTACAATATATATATTTTTACGGTACAGTATATACATCTTTACCGTACAGTATATATAATGTTACAGTATATAATAATTTCCATAAAGTTACACAAACTTAAGTAGTAATGAATGTTTGTCAGTGAATAAACAGAAGAATGGAAGGAGACTTGAACCGTGGTCTAGGCCTGCCTGCTACATGCTAGCACGGCGGTTCGAATCCCCATCAACTATATTGTTTATAGGTTTATATAAACATAATTTATATAACTTTCATTTGATTTCCACAAATTTTCTGGCAAGGAGCCATTTTGATTTTTTGGCATAAAGCACACACATTATATATATATATATATATATATATATATATATATATATATATATATATATATATATATTATATATATATATATATATATATATATATATATATATTTTATAAAACATTATCTCTCAGTCCACAGCAGGATTCGAACCTACACACTCTGGATCAAAGTATGTAGTACCTTCTCTGGCCGAGTGGAGAAGGTACTACATACTTGCAGTATGCAGGTTCGAGTCCTGCTGTGGACTGATAGATAATATTTGTAAACAATTTCGCCTGTTTGCGAATTATCATCTCTGGATCTAAATTTCGTACTGCCGACGATAGTGAAGACGCGAGAGGTTTCAGAAACACGCTTTCTTTGTAACAGCGTTCCACTTTGTGTGGACCTCTATCAATAAAAGTTTATTCTGTCACCTGTCTTTTCTTTACACTGATGTCTGGCTTGTCTGACTCTCCTCATGCTAGTATATCCGTGTCTGGTCTCTGAATATCGACCAGGTTCATGGGCTAAAATTTTATTTCATGATTCCAAGATTTTTCTCTCTTTTCTTTGGCTAATCTTCTTGTGGGTGGGATGGGAAATGTTTCTCATTTTTGTAATGAGTTGTTTAATCCAAACGTCGGATGTGTTGTGATGGACGAGGATTTTGCTTCCTAAAACTTCATATAGTGGAGCATTAGCTTGGACCCACATGGCACGAGATCTCGGCACGCTGTTACAGTTACAGGAACTTTGATCCATTCTGAAAAGTGGTCATTCCTTCCTCTCCTCCAGCCATGAACACATGGACTGGGTTCTTGACATACTGGGCGATGTGGGTAGTGCTGGTGTAGGTTGGTGGAGGTGGTGTTGGTGGAGATTTGTCCTTCAACAAACACTGACGCCAACGATACTACCACCAACAAGACCGCAACTACTGCCGTTGGTATCACTCCCACCACCAAAACAAACAACACTAATTTAATATAGACTTAACTTACTCTCAATGTCCTTGTTCAAATCTTCACTAAGCACAAACCTTGCGGCACCTCCACCCACACACATACAGAATCTGGAGAGTGTACTAGAGGCGGGATCCATATACATATAACTAACAGGTACGATAGAGAGGACCTAGTAGAGACCAGGGAAGAGGCAGGGCCAAGAGCTGTGAATCGACTCCTGCAACCACGTATAGGTGAGTACGTATAAATGTGTGTGTACATATTCTCTCAAGAGCCTGTACAAGACTGTTAAGGAAACACTGTAGTAACACCCACTGCCGCCTACACACACAGAATACATTAAGTCGTCACCTCGTGTTGTTGATTCAACTTTAACCATGCGCTCAGTCCTCCTTGTCATGCTAAATTACATACTAAATATGACACCAGAGAAATGCTCGCTGATTTCATGTATCAGTGGTACACTGTTCGACTCGTAACTGGAAACGCTAATAGTGGAAGATAGACCGGTTGGTTAACTGGGTTCGGATACTCGTGCAGTCTATCGACTGCACGAGTATCCGAAAGGCTGCCTAACCTTTACACCACCGGTCACGAATACTTTAATCCCTAAAATAAGGATTAAAGTAAACTCCGTGTATATACACTGAGAAACATACACCTCTCTGTGTATATATCCAGATATACACCACTGTATATGACCTTCAATGCAAGAAAAAGTAGCTGAAACTCAACCACGTATACAAAATTGTTAACACCAGCCTGCAGAATATCGTGCTTCATGTGTTATCAAGTTTCAGAACCAAAACTGGGAAGTGCAAGATAAACCCGGTGAAAAAGCAGGGATGCAGTGAGCACAGTAAGGGAACACTGTATCAACATTCGCAGTCCCAGATTATTCAACATCTTACCAGAAGATATCAGAAACACTGCTGGGACAAGTGTAGAAGTCTTCAAGAGGAAACTGGACAAGTATCTTCACCAGGTGCCAGATCAACCAGGCTGTGATAGATATGTGGGGCTGCGGACCACCAACAGCAACAGCCTGGTTGACCAGGCTAGCACCGGACGAGCCTGGCCCATGGCCGGGCTCCGGGAGTAGAAAAACTCTCGGAACACATCAAAGGTGTAGGCAGTGTTGTGACAGGGTGAGTGAACATAATTTCTTTAGTACCCACAGTAGGTAGCCAGGCCTGAAACACCCTTTATAAAATAATGGAATGGGTTACATGATCATATCAAGGCCAGTCATAACATAAATCAGTACAAAATACGTAATTAATGAAGTTGAAGAATGGGACAGTCATCCGACGTATTCATTTTTATGCTAATGTCTTACTGATAATATTAATAATTGTAGATGATAAGACAAGGTGTCTATATGCCTGTGTAACTATATAACAAAAGGACTTCAGTGGGAATGAAGTCACATTGTTTGACCTTACTGGGTTATCCAACTTATCCTAAGTTAATTTCTACATAATATACTAGAGATGATAGACTGTATTACGTAGAGAGACGCCACTGAGTCAACTCTTACCATTGATAACTGGACCCTCGCTAAGTGACTGCATATATTTCCTAAAAAGAACTAAATTCAACAGTTTCTTGTATCTCACTGATGAATTAAACATATGTGCAACATAGCAGCTTCTTCACCCGGATATAAACTTTATTGACTGAAGACAACAATATCGCTTGCTTTCTCTGGCTGCAGACACAATAACATCAAGGACTTTCTCTGGCTGCAGACACAATGACATCAAGGACTTTCTCTGGCTGCAGACACAATGACATCAAGGACTTTCTCTGGCTGCACACAATGACATCAAGGACTTTCTCTGGCTGCAGACACAATAACATCAAGGACTTTCTCTGGCTGCAGACACAATGACATCAAGGACTTTCTCTGGCTGCAGACACATGACATCAAGGACTTTCTCTGGCTGCAGACACAATGACATCAGGACTTTCTCTGGCTGCAGACACAATGACATCAAGGACTTTCTCTGGCTGCAGACACAATGACATCAAGGACTTTCTCTGGCTGCAGACACAATGACATCAAGGACTTTCTCTGGCTGCAGACACAATGACATCAAGGACTTTCTCTGGCTGCACACAATGACATCAAGGACTTTCTCTGGCTGCAGACACAATAACATCAAGGACTTTCTCTGGCTGCAGACACAATAACATCAAGGACTTTCTCTGGCTGCAGACACAATAACATCAAGGACTTTCTCTGGCTGCAGACACAATAGCATCAAGGACTTTCTCTGGCTGCAGACACAATAACATCAAGGACTTTCTCTGGCTGCAGACACAACATCAAGGACTTTCTGGCTGCAGACACAATAACATCAAGGACTTTCTCTGGCTGCAGACACAATAACATCAAGGACTTTCTTTGGCTGCAGACACAATAACATCAAGGACTTTCTCTGGCTGCAGACACAATAACATCAAGGACTTTCTCTGGCTGCAGACACAATAACATCAAGGACTTTCTCTGGCTGCAGACAATAACATCAAGGACTTTCTCTGGCTGCAGACACAATAACATCAAGGACTTTCTCTGGCTGCAGACACTCACACAAACAATAATCTCCTTGCTTCCTAAAGTCGAATAACATTTTGTAAATAAAAATGGCAATGTGTTGCACATGTTTTTACTCATCAACTTGTCGGTATTGTATACCATTATTATAGTGACTTTCCCTGATGGAGAAAACCAGCAATGGCTGGTTCTCGTCACCGTCTGTGGGAAAATTCCAAAAATAAGTTCTCGCCGTGGTTCTCAAAGTTTAGTTCTAAATAAGTAAAAAGTCGGCGCACGCAACAGACCAGTGTAAATATTTAATATGTGCGAAAAGTAACTAAAAACTTAACCTAAAGAGAACCATATTCAGTCACTAGGATGGGCGAGTCTCCTTTCACATGCTGCCCCTGTTCACCTAGCGGTAAATATTAGTTATAATAATCTTTATTTCTACAAGTACATGATACAAATTATACAGACCATAGATGACATCAGTGACATACTATATAGAAAGTCCCTGGTTACGCAAAGTATTTCGGACAACTTAGGTTAGTTTTGTCCCTAGGATGTGACCCATACCAGTGACTAACACCCAGGTACCTACTTGCTGATAGGACATCATGTGTCTTAAGCAAATACGTCCAGTGTTTCCACCCGTACCGGGTATCAAACCACGGACCTCAATGTGAGCTACCAACAAAGCTACGGGACTATTGTGGGTCACATCCTAAGAATAACAACAAAAATAATTCACGCAGCTTGGATT